ATCCACTTCAGGTTGGGTATTTACTCTTGGAGGAGGTGCGGTTTCTTTAAAGTCTAAGAAAAAAACTTGCATTACTCACTCAACAATGGAGTCGGAGTTTGTAGCTTTGGCCGAAACTGGAAAAGAAGTTGAGTGGATAAGAGATTTATTATATGAAATACCTTTAGATACAAAGGATATTTTTTCAATTCCTATCTTGTGTGATAGTCAATCTACTCTTGCCCGAGCTTATAACGAAGTATACAATGGAAAGTCTAGACATATGAGTCTAAGACATGAACATGTAAGTTAATAAAACATCGAATAATTTCACTTACATTTGTTAAGTCTATTGAGAACTTAGTGGATCCGTTTACTAAAACTCTCACGAGAGAATTAGCAAGATTGACATCAAGTAGGATGTAATTGAAACTCGTTAATTAAATCCACCAATGATAACAAGCCTACCAAAAGTATACTAAACAAATATATTTAGGTTCAAAGGGTAATAACAAGTCATTCGATAAATAGATGGATTTCAACACTATTGAATTTATTAAACCCTATCATTTGATAAATGGTGTTGGTTGTTACTATTGGAGGGACGAGTTACAATTAAACCACTTAATGAAGTTTAGTACGAGGTACAAGTATTTCTAAAAATAACAAAGATACTGGAAGAACTTCACTTATGTGAATTTCGAGGTGGTGCTGCCTCGTTAGAGAGTTGGAGCTCTCTCTTTAAAAGTTCAAAGAAAAAGAATAAGTGTAAGGCCATATCAACACTAAACGAGTTAGATGAACTTGTAAAATTTAGCAATTTATCCCTTAATAAATGTTTCTTGTCCATTGCTGTATTTTTTATTTTCATAACAATTTATCCCTTAATAAATGTTACATGAAAGTCAAAAATTTGTATACCATTCATAAACGAATCAACGCATTTGCATGCAGTCGCACACCAACAATGTGGGTTCATTTTACATTAATTATTTAATTGTGATCTACCTAATAAACATTTGTTTTATCTTAATCGACAAATTCATCAATTAAATATTATACATATGTCAACGTTATTATTGTTAATTGTTATTAATATAATCCTGTTAATGACTGATCACATGTGAATGGGCTTGGGAATGCAGTCGAAAGCCAACAATGTAAGTCCATTCCTTCCTGATTTTTAAGGAAATTGTAGAAACCCCCAACTTATATCACAGGTCACAACTTTATTCGCAACCTTTTTAAACAATGCAACGATTAAATGGTGAGACCAACTTGAACTTTTTGAAATTTTGGGGACCCTGTGGCAATAGTTTATTAATGTTGGTGATCAACATTGCAATTTCCTTATTTTTTATTGCTTCGAGCAGTGGTGGCTCGCCGGGTGAGGCGATAGGTAATACCAGGCCCAGGGTAATGAGTTTGATTATGAGTAATGACTCACAACATTAATGGCTCCGAGAAAATTTTTAATACTTTTGAAGTATGGAAATTTCGTACGCTTTATTAATATTTAATTGATACGAGTATGTTGATAGAGAGTCTTAGTTATACTCAATATACAGGTCAATTATTTAGTGTCAAGATTACTCAATTAGAGCATCTTTAAAAAGGCCATTTAAAAGTGAAATATTCTTTATTTTAAATAGTCGACATTAAAAATTATGTTCGAAGAAACTCTTCAAATTAATGTTTCAAAATAGAGTGGATTTTGATCTCCCAAATTGGAGAGCGAAATTCATTCTCTATAACATAACTAAGGGCCTGTTTGATAGGCCCTTTTTCATGTAAAATGAAATTGAAATTCAATTTCCCACTTTTGCTATGTTTGATAGTCAAAAAATTTCATGGAAACCACCCCTCCCCCTTTCATGAATTCAATGAATTGGGTTTCCCACCAATTTGGTAAGAAAATGGTTTCCAGGTTTTTATATTTATTTAATTTTTTGGGCAATGAAAATAAATTCAATGGACAATTGTAAAAAAAAAAATTCCTTTAATGTACAGTTTTCATGAAAAACAAAGTCAAACGAACACCAAAAGATCCAAAATTTCAACATTTTTCAGGTGAAAAATTATATCAATTAAAAATAATTAATTGACAATTCCTAGGAAAACAATTTTAGACAATTCACTTCCCTGTAATTCATTTTCTTTCCGTCAAAATTTCACTCTTGCAATTAAATGGACCCTAAATATATTCAAAATAATTTAATTTTCAATGTTCTATATATTAACCAAATTAAATAGTATATTCAAAGGAAACGGAGGAAAGCTTGTGAAAATTTTAAAAAAATAGTAAAAAGATAATAAATATATATGGGAAGTAGAGGTGGCAATCGAGCCGAGCGGCTCGTCGGCTCGTAAAAAAGCAGCTCGTGAGCCGCTGACAAGCTCGAGTCGAGCCTACTCTGCTCGTTGTTTTGACGAGTGGCTCCTGGGCGAGCCACGAGCCTAGTAAAAAATGTGAGAGAAAAACTAAAAAAAATGAATTAAAAAGTTAAAAAAGAAAAAATTTGACGAGCAGCTCGTCGGCTCGGCTCAAGAGGTCACAAGGTCGTGGGCCGAGCCGAGCTCGACCCTTGAGCACGAGCAGAGCTCGAGCTCGGCTCGTGCTCAAACGAGCTTGAGGGAGCTCATAGGAAGATGGGCCGAGCCCATTGTCACCGCTAATCGGAAGTGATAAAATTAAATGTTAAAGATAAGAAGGTTGTTCGAGTATTTAAAAATATTTACTCGCTAAATTTATATATGTTCTTTAAATTGCAAAACATTTTCTTTAAATATAAAAAGTCTTCTGAAGATGTTCATAACTATCAGTCCCTTAGTGAGGGTAAAATAAACAAAATTTTTGGTTAACGTGTATCATAAAAACATTTGAATACTTAGGTACGTAGTCTACTAACCGTGTTTGGCTAAGCTAAAAAAATTCTTCTTGATGAAAAATTCTCTTTAATCAGCATTTCCTTCGTTTCAATTCCCATACCTGATTTCAATTAGGGCTCCCTTCTACGCACAAATGGCGGATTCGTATTTTTTTATATATAAGGTTTGATGGACCACCATCACCTAAATAGAAAGTAAATTTTCAAAAAATGTAGAATTGATATTCCTCACGAGATGCAAACGAGCCAAACTGTACCAAAGCCACCAATTTCAAGCTGCCACAGTGAAAGAGTTTGAACTCCTAAATGGACACGGGTTAGGGCATGCTTTGGGAGTTTTTTTTTCCCATCGAGATTAAGGGTTGAAGAAATTGGTAATTTTTTTTTTCCCCCATCGATTTTGGATGATTTCCAAAATTGATTTAGTATAACTTTGAACGGTTCTCTCAACCCTTCAAATGGACGATGTTTACCATTTTTCATATTCTTTCTAATTTTACCTTTTATAAATTGACTATTTTCAACCAACATATTTTATTCAAAACTAACTTATAAATAAAAATTTATTAATAAGCATAAAAATTACACATTAATTTTAAAAAATTATTTATAAAGTAAAAATAGTACTAATAAGATAAAAATTCACTTACAAAATATAAAAGTTAATTTTATATATATGCCTAAAAATTATTTAAAAATACAAATTAACTTATAATTATAAAATTTACTACTGAGTTAAAAAAATTTTAGGCTTAAAAATTTTTAAATAAATTTTTAAATTAAATATTAACTTATATATAAAAAAAATTATCTATAAGTAAAATATCATTATGAGAAAAAATTTTATACAAAAAAATTATAAACTGAATATTTCACTAGGGGACATATATACAATTTTATTCTTAGAATTAATGAATAATAAACTCTCACGTATAGGTTGGATTGTTTTAAAAATCACTACTAAAATCACTCAAAATCGATATTATAAAAAACACTCATGGCCTCTACCTCAAAACTCAGACCCTTAGCGGTGTGGGAGATAGGAGGTTGATTGTGGTGGGCAGGTCGGTTGAGTATGATGGGCTTGGATAATGTGCTTTTTAGGCTTTTGAGTGATAGGCTTTGGGGTTTGGGTTCGGCTTTGTATATATGGTTTGTCGGTTTGAGGGATTTTTTCGGTTAGGTCTGTTATGAGTGTTTGGTGGGCATATATGGTTAATTGGCTACTGGGCTTATATTAAGTTAGGGTGCGGTTACAAGAGTTTGGGCTGTTGAATTGGGTTTGCATGTGGGCTGGAGCATATGTAAAGTGTGGGCTGAAATTGATTATTAGTCCTGTGTATACAAGGCTAGGATTACACTGGGCTGGGAATGGGTATTTGAATAATTTTTCAAATAATCAAACTATGTTCATGTAAGTTTTGGTGCAATTGATTGGAGATGATTTTCAATTGAAAAATTCTATTTGTACATAATTTTTTATCTAATATTTTACCGAATTGACAAGTGACGGCTCCCTATTGGGGGACACCTGTGGGCCCAGCCCCCTCCAATAGGGGGCCACCACTTGTCAATTAGGTACATGTAGCATAATTCTTTTTCAATTTGGTGCAAAATTTATCTCAAATGGAGATGGCCTTAGAGTGGATTAACGGCGAAGGGGGATTGTATAATTTGGGTTAATAGGTTTGGTTATGGTTTTGAAAGGTATGTTGGTGGTTGGAGAGATGGATACAGATGGTTGAGGGGTGGAGATCGAATTTGTTGGTCAAAGAATATGATTTGAGCTTTGATATCATATTGACACGGCATAGTACGTAGGAGAAGGGAAAAGGGAAGAGAAGAAGAGAAAGGAGGGGCTTAGAGAGAATAAGAGGAAGAGAGAAATTGGGAGAGATTATTAATTTATTTCGTTATCAAACTTTAATTATGTTTCTTAAAATAAGCTTCAACATTAAAAACTAAATTAAATAATATATCTTCTAATATTCCATCTGAACTACTCTTGCTCTTCTTTGAATAATGCACTAATTGTAAAGATATACATGATTGTTGCTGTAGTGTATCACAGAGAATCTTATGCCTTGAACTTTGTTAATACTTCCCTTTATGATATTGTATCTTGATTATCTCATGTTTTGCATAGGGAAATATGGGAATAATATCTTCTTCCAGATAGTCTCAAGATCACCTAATCTCCAGCTAATGGTTCAAAAAGTATTTCAGAGTAACAAAAATCAGCAGATGCCTATCTTTCAAAGTGACGAAGATGCAATATACCAACTAGAACAGTTTTTCCTGAGGCAAATAGGACCAGCTCCCAAGCTATTAGTCCTGGACGACGTCTGGTCAGGATCCGAATCACTCATTCAGCAGTTCCTTCTTCCAATAAGTGGATATAAAATTTTGGTTACATCGAGATTTGTGTTTCCACGATTTGAATGGACTTATAAATTGAATATATTGAATCATCAAGATGCGATGACCCTGTTTCATCATTATGCCTTTAAAGATGGGGTCCGTACTGTGCAAAAACATCTTGTAGAAGAGGTAAAAGCATTCTCTGCTAAAGCGCATCTTTAGAACAGTCTACCAGTAACATCAATATTGAACTTAGTTCATTTTTCAGTGTGGGGTGCATTTTTCTATCATCTTATTATGGCGTTTTTACTCTACCTGAAACATTAAACTACACCGAGTGACAATTTTTCTTGTCAAAACTCATTTGGTTAGGTTAAGATGTTAAAATTTTATGAACAGATTTCTAAAAGATTTATTCACTCTATTCCAAACCTTAACTGATGTTGCTCGTGGAATCACATGGCAGGTTGTCAGAGGTTGCTCAGGATATCCATTAGCCCTCACAGTTGTTGGCAGGTCACTCTATAGGCAGCCTGAGGTGAACTGGATTAACACAGTTCAAAATTGGTCCCAAGGGCAATCCATTTATGACACCGACATGGTTTTGCTTAGTCGTCTAAAAACCAGCTTAGATGCCTTGGATGGAATGACAGTCCTCAAGAATTGTTTCTTGGATCTAGGTTTATTTCCTGAAGATCAAAGGATCCATGCTGCAGCTCTTATGGATATGTGGGCGGAACTGTACAACCTGGACGAAAGTGGCATGTACACCCTTATCTATCTCCATGAACTCTCAAACAGAAATCTGGTTGATCTTACTCTTGTAAGGTTTGTACCTTCCTTTTCATCGTTAGTGGATTATGCTACATTTGAAGAAGTATGCTCATCTGCACATATGATTGCTGTGAAGACAAGCAAAGAGTGAATATATTTATCAAAGAGTTGAAGTCACAACTGTTGAGTACAAATGAGAGAGTTATGCAAAATTGTTGGTATCTAGAAATGAAGACAGTCTGAGACAATTGGAAAGTGGAGTAGAATTATCCATGTTAATATGCTACAAAAACGAGAAATGCAAGAAGCATGTGAACTAGACTTAGATAATGTGGCTGCAAGCCGACTACATAACTTTTAGGCAATTAATTTGATCCATCTTTTGCCCTCGACCCTTCCCTTTTGAGTGTAGAAAAAGGAAAATATAAAACAGAGTTATGACAAAACTATGATTTAGTGTTCAGATAATTTGCTGCTTGGTAGAGATGAATAAAAAATATATTAATTATCCAGCAAATCTCCAGTGTTTCGGTGATATTGCTTCTCTGTTTAATATTTTTTGTCAATGACATAATGATGTTACGGCCTTGTTCATATTGCCGGATCGGATAAATTTTTTTCACTTCGCTTCCTTTCTCGCTCTATGTAACGTTGCTGAAGGTCAGTTATTTAAGCAGACTTAGATAAGTAAACTGTTCTTAGAATTTTGAATGCTACAGCAACTACAGTTCCTTATATAAATACCACAATCTTTGTATATGTCCAAATTAAAATCGTTGTATCGACAGTTATTGGACATCATTGTTAATCTAGGTTTCTTTAACAAAAATTCCTTGATTAACTTATCTCATTCTCCTATGCAGAAAAGATGATCAGGATGATATTGACTACTGCAAAGAGCATTTTGTAATGCAACATGATCTTCTGAGGGAGATGGCTATCCACCAAAGTAAACAAGGTTCCATAGAAGAGAGAGAGAGATTAATTGTGGAAATAAATGGGAATGCCTTTCCCAAGTGGCTAACTGATCAAAAGCAGCAACCCATCAATGCCCGCATTTTATCAATCACTACAGGTTAGTAATCCTTTTTATTCTCCCTTTCCGGTTGTTAAGAAATATAGGGTTATTTTATTTTATTGTTTATTAAGCGTATAATAGTCTTTTCAATTTCTTTTATTTATCATATATATAGTCTCTTTATTTTTAGATTAAAACATTCTTTTGTATTCAATTGCATTATGCAGAATTAATGAAACTCTAGCCTCCTTTTCCTTTTCTTTATTTCTTTGGATTGTTTAACATGGTATCAGAACTATTTCGATGCTAAACAAATTAACTTTTGATTTCGTTTCAAGCGAGCGGCCTTGAGCCGCTCGTCCGGCTACCAATGTTGTTCTTTTCCCCTTTTGTGCTTTTTCCGTTGCTTAATATTACGTACGTGTGGTATCTGAATTTACATTGATCTTGCTCGTGCCTATGGTGATGGAGACGATTGCTTTCATAAAGGAGTCCCGATCCTCATTGAATAGCAACTAGTGGTTGGAATTGGTTTAGTGATCCGGTTTATGCAGGTCATATGCCTCCTTCATTATTGAGGGTTTGTCTACTGGAGGTTGTTTCATAATTGGATTGGTCACTAGCAGTTGAGTAAGCAAGAAAAAAAATAGTGATTTCTAGGTGTAGGTGATGATTAAAAATATACGTAATAGGCTCCCACGGAAACAAACCAAGTTAGGGGATAATTGTGATGGAGGATCCTCTACTTGCTCTTCAAATTCTTCTACTACTTTGAGAAGCAATTATTCTACAAACTCTCGGTTGGGAAATTCAAAATGCTACATCTCTTTCAGGGATCAATCCAACTTGGGATTCTAGCCTTACTAATTCAAAGGTGAATGGGAATGCAGTAGTTGCTTATGAGGCACTGCCTAGTTTTAAAGATGTTGCTAATTCCGAGAAGCAAAACTTGTTTATCAAAAAGCTGAATTTGGGCTGTGTGGTATTTGACTTCACTGACCCGACGAAGAATGTGAACGAAAAAGACATCAAGAAACAGACATTGGTGGAGCTTGTTGATTACATTACTTCTGCAAATGGAAAATTCACAGAAACTATTATGCAAGAAATTGTGAGAATGGTATCCATAAGTTTGTTCTGGGCACTCTCTGCTCAATCATGGTAGTTAGGGTTTTCACGAAAATTTGCATATTGAAAGAAATTCAGAACTTTTGAAAAAAACAAAAAAAACTAAGAACGGAGACCGATGATTTTTCGTTGATTGGAATTGGATTAGAGTCATGAATGGTGAAATTGTTTGGGTAGTAGTGGGCTTGAGTTTAATTTGGGCCAATAGTTTTAGTATTGGCAGTGGGCTATTGGTTTTGTGTTGATGTTGAACTTATGTTTATGGCTTGTGTTTTGATAAAAATAATTGGGTTTGTTATATTAGGCTTGCTATTTAGTGTGGACTGCTTTTGAGTGGTAATTCGTTTGGGTTGCAATCTAACTTCTTTTGTGAGTTTGTTGTCTTTATTGGGGTGTTGGAGTAATTAGGACAATTATTTAATTGGTTTGATTTTATTGTGGATTGTTAGCTTGTGTGGGTTGAAGATTTTGATTTGGGCCATGGGTTTTGTTTTTGAGCCGCGAGAGTTGTTGTTGGTGGCTTTTGTTTGGAGTTGGGTCTTTTCTCATCGTAAACTTGTTTAAAGGTTTTCTTTAAGCTTTTGGTTACAGTAAGTAATCTGGAATTTGATTTAATATATGTTCAGTTCATGGGATTGGAAATTTGGTTTGATATATGCCTGGTGTTCAACAATCTAAAGAAAATAAAGAAAAGAAAAAGGAGACTAGGGTTTCATTAATTATGCATAATGCAATTGAATACAAAAGAATGAATTAACCTAGAAACCAAGATACTATATATAGGCTAAACAAAGAAAATTGAAAAGATTATTCTACCCTTAATAAACAATAAAATAAAATAGCCATATATTTAACCCTATATTTCTTAACATCTCCCTTCAAACTCATGATGCATCAACTACAAGTATCGAGAGTTTGCCAATCAGAAGACGAAAATGGGAAATAGAATGCGACTTGGTAAATTAATATGCAAGCTGCAAAGAAGAAGAAACAAATGGCAAAGTAATTGTGCCATGCTTGAGATGATGACGAGTAAGGTGATAATCAATCTCAATGTGCTTAGTTCATTTATGAAAAACTGAGTTGTGAGCAATTTGAATAGAACTCTAGTTATCACAATACATAGGAGTGAGATGAGAAGGAAAAAATCTCATATTTGCAAGTAACCAATGTAACCAAACAATCTCTTTGGTAGTAGATGCCATAGCATAATATTCTGCTTCGGTTGAAGATTGAGAAACAATAGATTGTTTCTTACTTAAGAAAGAAGATAATCATCGAAAAAGATATAGAAATCAGTAACAGACTTGCAATCGGTGGGATCACTACCATGATCAGTATCAGAGTATGCACACATCTCTAAGGTAGATGTGGATGGAAGTAAAAGACTCTGAAAGACTGTACCCCGAAGATACCAAAAAATACAAAGAACAGCTGTCCAATGAACTGTAATAGGAGAAGTAACAAACTGACTAACAACATGAACAACATATACAATATCTGAATGCGTAATAATGAGATATTCCAAGTTCCCAATAATAGTACGATATAAAGCAGGATCTGATAAAGGTAAACCATCAGAAGATGAATACTTTGCGTTAACCTCAATGAGAGTATCAACAGTCTTATTATCAGTAAGTCGAGCCCGCTCAAGAATATCTGCAACATATTTCGACTGAGAAAGAAGATAACCTCTAGTGATCAGGCTACCTAAATACCCAAGAAATATTGTGGAGAACCCAAATCCTTCATTTCAAATTGTCTAGCCAACTCTGTCTTCAAAACTGAAATACCATTAATATCATCACCAATAATAATCATGTCATCAACATATAAAGATAGAATGATACGACCTACATCAGTACACTTAAAAAAGATAGCAGAATTATGACTACTAGAAGCAAATCCAAGGGAAGAGATCAGAACAGAAAATTTCTCAAACCAAGCACGAAGTGCTTGACGAGGTGCTTGTTTAAGACCATATAATGCTTTCTTGAGCTTGCAAACATACCCAGAATCATGTGGAACACTAGGAGGGAGAGCCATATAAACTTATTCTTGTAGATCTCCATTCGAGAAGGCATTTTTAACATCAAGTTGAGAGAAACGCCACTGACGAACCGAAGCTATTGCAATAAGAGTACGAAAAGTAGTCATTTTTGCAACAAGAGCAAAAGTCTCTTCGTAATCCATACCATACTATTGAGAGTACCCTTTTGCAACCAATCTGGCTTTGTATCGCTCAATTGATCTATCAGAATTAGTCTTGATCTTATACACCTAACGACAACCAACAACACTCTTATCAGGAGGTATAGGAACCAAATCCCAAGTACCGTCTTATGCAAAGTAGAAAGTTCCTCATCCATAGCTTGCTGCCAAAGAGGATCAAGAATTGCCTCTTTATAGGAAGAGGGCTCAGAGAGACAATGAATAGAAACTAAAAAGGAAGTAAAAGGTGAAAAATAATAAGAATAAGCAAAACATGGTAACTTTATAGACTTACAAATGTGTTTGGATTAAAGTAGAGATGGATCCACAGTCTCAGACGGAGCTTGATGGACCATAGGAGAAGAGAGAGCTTCAGATATGCCGGAAAGTAAAGTGTCAGTACATACAGAATGATCAGTATTTTTAAGTGCTAGGAACTTAAGATGACAAACTATCATAATCGTTAGAAAAAGGATCTCTACGAGTAAGATCAAATCTAATCAAACTCTGAGTAGTTGATGGAATAGAAAAGAAAAGTATATGCTCGAGAAAGACAACATGACGAGACACATAAATTTTCTAAGTTATTGGATCAAAATAACAATACGCCTTTTTACCTTCATCATAACCAAAAAGCACACAAATAGTAGATCTAGATGACAACTTGCTGCGTTCTACATGAGGACGAAGAATGAAACAAATATAACTAAAAACTCTAAAAAAAGAATAATCAAGGGTATACCCATACAACCTTTCAAAAGGAGAAAAACCCGAAATATGAGAAGATGAAATTGTATTAATTAAGTCTACAGTAGTAAGAAGAGCTTCACCCAAAACACACTAGAAACAGATCGGACAAAAAAAGAGAGCGAGCAGTTTCAATAATGTGCCTATGTTTTCTTTCAGCAACGTCATTTTGCTCAGTAATATCTATACACGAAGTTTGGTGAATAGTTCCATCTAAAGCAAGTAGCTCAAAAATTTATTAGAAGTGTATTCGCCACCCAAATCATACCTAAAATATTTGATAACAGCAGAATATTGAGTTTTGACAAGAGCACGAAAGGCTGAGTATATCTTAAAGAATTCAGAACGATGTTTCATTAAATAAACCCAACAATAACGAGTATGATCATCAATAAAAGAACTATAATATCTAGACCCTCCTTTTGTGGCAACAGGAGAAGGCCCCATATATCAAAATGAATCAAATCAAATGGAGAGGAAGAAACAAAAATACTTCGATTAAAAGGTAAAGCTGAAAATTTTACCAGTTTACATCCACTATAATCTGAAATATCACAAGGTTGCAAATTTTCTAATACCCCTGTAGAAGCCAAATATCTAAAACAAGAAGACGAAACATGACCTAGGCGAGAATGCCATAAATAAAAACCAGAAAAAGAATAACTCAAACGAAAAAAAGACAAATCAACACTAGTAGCAGCAGCAACAACTGGCAACTTTAACTCATCCAAAATATAGAGTCCCCCTTTCCTACGGCCTATCCCAATTAGCTTCTGAGACTACAGATCCTGCACATAACAAGAAGAAGAGGAAAATGTGACTAAATTAACAGAATCACATTACTAACCAACAGAAGCAAGATTTAGTGTAAGTTTCGGAATATAATAAACATTAGGGAAAGACAAGTGAGGTGTGACAACAGAACCAACACCTGCTAAAGGCATAGGAGTTCCATCAGCAGTCATAAGCTATCGCTGCAGTATTGGACTGTGGTGGTCTATAACCATGAGGTAGTCTATGAGCATTCGATTGTGACTGATTGCCAGGCTTCCAAGCTTGAGATTGCTACATGGTTTGATTTTGCTGTCTCAACTTAGGATACTGATCCTTCTAATGACCTTTCTCCTTACAGAAACTGCATCATCGGGGGCAACCCTTACGTGGAACATATTCTAATTATTAGAAAGTGACTTAGAATGCACTGCTAACACAGAAGGATTAGAAGTAGAAATAATTCCATTTTTAGAATAAGACTTAAGATGTATTTCTTCGCCAATAACTCACAGACAACTGATTCAACAGAAAGAAGTGGAGAATGTTGTAAAATTGAACCTCTAAATCCTTCAAAATCACTACGAAGTGCCGTTAGAAACTGTACTAACTGTTGCTGCTCTCTATGAACAATATAGGCATTACACGCCTTTAATTCTGCTGATTCTGTAAGAGCCAATTGATCCCAAAGATCTATTATAGCATAATAAAACTCCTGAACACTCATATTCTTCTACTGAAGAGCTCGTGTGTCATTCTCCAATTGATACTGTTTTGTAAAATTTGAATGAGTGAATAACCATTGTAGATGATCCCATAATTCCTTTGCTGTCTCATACTTTGCCAACTCTCTACCGATGGAATGCTCAACAGAATTGTTAATTTAAGTAATAATTTTTGAATTGTTTGCTTCCCAGGTATCTATCAAAGCAGCATAACCCTTATCAGTATCCTTAGATTTCACAGAAGTTCTACTAACATATCCCCACATCTTTTTACCCTTAAGAAAATTTCATAGATAATCCTAATACGAATAATTCTTTTCATCTAATCTCACACTTACATATTGAAAAGAATCGTCCCTTGTAGTAGCCATAATAAAAAAAATAAGGAAGACCAGATCGCAAAAGAAAGGAAAACGAAATACCAGATTATGGAAACTGAATGAAACCCCTATCAAAATCGTCTCTTTTAAAAAAAAAAAAGTTGGATCCGCGAAAGCTGTGTTTGAGATTAAGTTTTGTCCCATGAAACTTGGCTCTGATACCATGTTAAACAATTCAAAAGAAAATAAAGAAAAGGAAAAGGATGCTAGAGTTTCATTAATTGTGCATAATACAATTGAATACAAAAGAATGAATTAACCTAGAAATCAAGATACTATATATAGGCTAAACAAATCAAATTGAAAAGACTATTGTACCCCTAATAAACAATAAAATAAAATAGTTACATATTTAACCATATATTTCTTAACACCCGATTCACGGGATTGGGGGTTTGAATTGGTATATGCCAGGTTCACGGCATTGGGAATTTGGTCTGGTACATGTCCAGTTTATCTGGAATTTAGTTTGGTACATGTCCAGTTCATCTGGAATTTGATTTGGTGTTGGTTCGGTGTATCCGAAATTTGAAATTTGCATCCAGTTCATTTGGTATTTGTGGAGTTGGAATTTGAAATTTGCATCGGTTTGGTTAGATGGGTGGATGATGATTTTTGATTATCATCAACTTTGAGTTCTTTGTTCGGCTTGGTTGGCATATAAGCAATTATGAAGATTTGATTTATGTAGACTGGCACTATTTTCCTTCCTTTTGTCTCTTCATCGTTGGAGCTTGCCAACTTCTTCACGAAGTCACATCTGGTTCATTGTTTTCGTTTCTTGCTTGTCAAACTCTCGATGCTCCTTGCACCAACATCATGAGTTTGAGGGGAGATGTTAAGAAATATTGGGTTGTTTTATTTTATTGTTTATTAATGGTAGAATAGTCTTTTCAATTTCCTTTATTTAGCCTATATATAGTCTCTTTGTTTTTAGGTTAAATCATTCTTTTGTATTCAATTGCATTATGCAGAATTAATGAAACTCTAGTCTCCTTTTCCTTTTCTTTATTTCTTTGGATTGTTTAACACCGGTTATGGATATCTAATGTCATTACCCTGTTTTTGGCAGATAATGCATTCTGCTCAAACTGGTCTAACGTGCAAATACCTGATGTTAAGGTTTTAATACTGAACTTTCAAATCAAGTTCTATACCTTACCTGTATTTATGGAGAGAATGAGCCGCCTGACAGTTCTATTAGTGACGAATTATGGTTTCACCCGAGCACACCTAGAAAACTTTCCACTGCCTAGTCAGTTAAACAATCTAAAGAGACTTAGGTTGGAGAATGTTTCCATCCCCTCCATTGCTACTTCCATACTGCAGCTAAAAAATTTGCAGAAAATATCCATGATCATGTGTGAGATTGGGAAGGCATTCGAGGAATGCACAATTTCAATCTCCAATACATGGCCAAATCTCAACGAGATAAATATCGAGTATTGTGACGACTTAGTTGAAATACCAGCACGGGTTTGTGGCCTTATCCATCTTAAGAAGATCAACTTGAGATACTGTCAAGAGTTGGTTACTCTTCCAGTAGAACTGGGAAATCTGACAAATTTAGAAGTGCTGAGGCTTCAATCTTGTACACAACTAGTACAGTTGCCTGAATCAATTTCTGGACTCCAGGAATTGAGGTTCCTTGATCTGTCGGATTGTGTGGAAATGGACCACTTCCCAGAGCGGCTAGGCGACTTATGTGGGCTGCGAAAAATACGCATGATGGGTTGCACTGCTATATCTGAGTTGCCGCCTTCAGTAATGGATCTTGTGCAGTTAGAATGTGTGATATGTGACGATGAAACAGCCTATTTATGGAATTTATACAAGGATTATTTGGATAAGTTGGAAATTGTTGTGGTAAAAGAAGATATAAACCTTAACTGGCTTCATAAGAGATCAGCTTGAAAATGTACTTGCACTTGGTGCCAAATCACGAGTATATTGACTAGGTGGCCCAAACATGGGATAAATATTTTAATTCCTTGTGGGTCTACTTCAGTAATTTTATGGGTAAGATGGGTTCTAATTGACATTTTTTAATTGCAAGTAATGTTTTCAACTAATTCTGGATCAGACATTTAGTTGAAACCTCGATAGTTTTGCAATTAAACAAGTATGTTTGATGGACAGAATCGAAAGATACAAGAATGCGATTTTGTTTTCAATATGGATCTTACTGCCAACCCAAGTAGCTATCTCAAAATAATCAACCAAAGATGGATTGGTGACGCAGAACAGAAGTAAAGGATTTACCTGCATAAATCTTGAAAATAAAAAAACTGGAATTCTTCAAAACGAAACTTGTATGCTATCAATAATGATCCGGAAACGTTCAAAAAGCCTTTAAATACGCATTACAAGAAACTCTAAAAACATAGAATAGTAAAACGTTCCAAAAATAACGAAAATTCAAAACGGAAAATACGGAAATTAATTATTCGGAGGCCTAAACGAAGGAATTTGGCTAAAATCCCGATATCTCTACGCTTCGAGTCCAATTTTTCGGGCCATTTCCAATCAACTAGCCAATTTCAGCCCATTCTGACACCGTCGCAACAAATGACAAAATTGCCCCCAACGCAATCTTTTTTTGTCAATTTTCTGTCCAGCACTTCTTCAAACTCCAAAACTAGTAGTCCTACATCAATTGGATGAGTTGTTTTGGTCTGAATTTGTAAATTTCTTTCAAGTATTTGAATTTGTAAAATGACATGCCAATAATGAAAGTGTCTCGTCAAATAAATTAGGAGTTTGAAATCTGAGACTTGTGTGTCTCCTTAACTGTCCGTTTCAATATATTTGGTTCATAACATTTTTTTAGCAAATTAAAAAATATCAATGTGTAATGTGTCCATATAAAAAACGTGATAAGTCTTTTTATTTGTTAAGGAAAAGTGATAAACTACGATATATATACTGAGAAGATAACTAAGAGGGCAACAAGTTCGTCACAGCATGTCTGTATTCAAAATCTGGATTTTGCAACTTATCCAACCCTTTAGATCTAGACTAGACTTTATGTAAGAAGAAAGAATTGGAGAAATTAAGTCCATTTTCAGCATCCATTTCTTAGATTCATTCATAACTTTTCAATCACTCATTTCATCAAGTTTTATCAAAATCTACTAAAATCTTATTTTTATCAAAACTGAATAGGGGCTAAATTTTTTTCGCTATTACTTGAATCTAGGCCTTGGCATGTGAATGACTTTAAAATTGACCATTTTCATTTCGTTCTTATCGAAAATCTCATAAACACATACATTGGCATAAAACAATTTGTCTTTACGACTAGGTGTTAAATGGGTTAAGTTGAACCCCTCTGCTCGCCTACTGTTAGAATCGGCTCGACCCACCACACACGCTTGTTTGTTTCATCGAAATGTGGCTCGACTCTCTCCTTGGTGGACGTCCCAAGCCTACTGTGGCTCGTCAACCTTTTTTTTTTTTATAGTGAAATTGCTATTCCACTCACTTATTACAAGTCGATTCAAACATTTCAGTGAAAACAATAAATAGCATAATGCTAACTAACATCATTTCAAAATTAACCAGCATAGAAAAACTCCTGTATTATTGAGATCTGTTCATTATTTCTTGTCATTCCCTCCATATATAAACTTCCACATTCTGTGGAGAAACATTATAAACTTACACCCAAAGTGGAGAAACATTATAAACTTCCGCATTCTGTCTGAAGATCGAAAATCATTATATTTTCTCCAAACAGAGGAATGTAATTTACAATCTATGATGATTGCACTGTGAGTTCACTTGTATACTGGAGTAAGTACTGATACTTCCATTTGTCTGTGGACTGTGGATGTGCTGTTAGCAACACAATACTTTTTTACTACAATAAGTATTTTTTTTGGGTACTAAAGGGCCATCCTCATGATCCATCATTTTCGTCTCCCTCGCACACCTCTGGCAATTTTGCTGACCTTATTCAAGGCGTCAACTTCATCTCGGAAAATGACGGTCCCTTTGGGTAGTAAAATACGATCCATTTCTAGGAGCATATCTTCAAATTCACACCTGTTATCCACATGCTCCATAGCTTAATGTACAAAGCTTAGTGCATATTTGGCTGAAGTTTAAATGATATATGTTGGGTTTTGATACCAAATAAATCACGGGCAATGATGTTAAACCGTTTTTGTTTGGATTATACTTCACGTGCCTTGGCAGATGAGTGAAGTGAAATATCGACACCACAATTAAACAATCCAACTCTACAACCTATTCGGGTCATTTGAAGTAACCTAATTGTGTTAGTGTTACTCATGGCTCGGCCCATTACCTTGAACGACTTTGTTGGTTGATAACCCATTTGTTTATTACCTTTTGGGCCTTACTATTCCTTAACCTAAAAGCCCACACCTATCATATATATATGCTACCCCATTACTGTTGTGGTTTAGTGTGTGAAGGGGGGGTCTTTTAAAATTGGCCAGGTCAAAAGCAGGAAATTCAACTTTGACTTTTTCACTTTTGAATATTACGCAATTGACCTAATGGTGTTCAAAAGACAAAAATGCCCTTAAATGAATAAAACAATTACAAAATATGATTTTATTAAAAAGACAATACTATCATTTTACTTAACAAATGAAAACCAAACACCCCTACATAAAATTACAAATTCAGTTCAAATACAGATAAAAACTCTTATCTTCTTCACTCTAGAAATCTCAAAAATATCGGTAGCGGAAGGAAAAAATTGTTTACTGTCAATTACTACAAATCAGCAAATATATTTTCGTATGTTTAATTTCATTGTAATGAAATGTGTATATTTTTTACTCGATAAATTAAGATTCGACATAGGTAAAAGGCAGAAGAAATTTTTTAATAGATCTGTATAATATTTTTAAGTGAATGAAAAAAATTCATCTGCATAATTTTCCGACTTAAAGTTAAGAAAACAACGGGCGAAATCGCCTGTTAACATGCGAGGCTAATTCGCATATTAACAGGCGAACATACTAATTTTCACCCCCTCCCACCTGTAAAAAGATTCAAGTATTTAAGATCCAAGTTTGGGATTCACCTCGTATTTTGCATACTAGATTTCAAGTTTAGTATAGAAAACGTGAAAAAGTCAAGTACGTACTAGTCATGATATATGCCAATTAAGCCTCTCTCATAGATGATACCAAGAGTATTTTGAGTAATAGTTGGCACAACGTTCATTACCCACAGTTTTGATGATACCGAAGCAACTACAAAACCTCCAAGTCTAGCATTCACATCCCGTGGCGGATCCAGCACTCCGTAAGCCACGGCAGCCAAGCGTGCTGGATCTGCCGTCTTGTTAAAAAAAGAACAAACTGTATAGATAAAATTTTTAGATTATATAACTGGCAATATATTTTATTTTCAAACATTTCTTATAGTTCAACTAGTTATAATTGCATATTCACATTGGAGGTTGTGCTTTCGAATTCCTTTTCAATCAATTTATTGTGAAATATTTTTAATTCTGCAATTTTTAACAAAATTAATGCAATAGAGAGAGGATTCGAACATGTGACCTCTCCTTAGGATTATTGAAAGCTTGATCATCATGGCATTTATTGAACTTTGACACTAAACTTACCAGAATAATTTATGTTAAAAATTCAAGCCTGTGCTCTTCCTTTGACAGATTCGAACTTGTCACATTTCCTTTGGATTATTGAAAGTTTGACCATTATGATACTTATTGAACTTTGACACTAAACTTAACAGAATAATACATGTTAAATTTTAGCTGTTATAATGCAATTATAAAAATTTGAATGATTGCTCTTCCTTTGAATTATACAAAACTGGGCCACAATATCATTTAATGAATATTGTTAATTTGTACAACAGAATTATATATGTTCAGTTCGAACAAAATAATTGTTATATTTAAATTTTAGACCTTTTTTTTCGAAATACATTTTTTCCTATTCTTTTCAACCACACATTTTTCAATAAAATAATATTACGTACAAATTCAAAAAAATTCTTCTTTTTAACCACACATTCTCCATCAAATAACTATTCCAAAATGCTTTTTTTTTTTGCAAAAAAGGGGCATCAAACGACGCTCTTAATATTTTATTGCTGCCAACGATCGACGGTCAACGACCAGCCGTGCTGACTCAAATCCTGGATCCGTCACTATTCACATCCATTATTTTTCGATATCTATATCTATTTGTGCCAAGTAACTTAATTATCCTTTTGTAAGTATTTACACATTTCTTCCAAAGTTTGTTTTCTTCGTCTTAAGATTTAGATGCGGTGGAACTTCATAAAGACGTGCTGGAAACTTCTTCAAGTCCCCTCCAATTACTTAACTCTGTAGCTCACGCAAAACTTCTTAAACTTCTTTTTACAAGACTTCGTATTTATTTTTCTTTAGGACGACAAGATCTCCTTCTCGTACTTTTTTTTCCCAGCAAGAGGATTCAGCTAGCTCTTCGATCCTTGATTGCTCAGCCTTCATGTCCTCTTTTATCCTTTTCCATGTACGGTAATTCCAATTGATTGGAGGACCCAGTATCACCAGGTCTAAGCACCCTGATCAACTTCCATTAAGTAAATACCACCTTTAAATTGAAGAGAAGTTTGAACATTTTATTAGTGAATGTACTTGACTAAAAGATATTTGGTCTATGCTTTTAAACGATTTCTTCGCCACCTGTGCGGCACACTTGAACATAGACTTCTCCTATATTGATATTCTCCAATGTTCTTGCATGAACATTCAAATAATAACTGGTAGGCAACAAAGATGACTCCATCTCCACCATTGCCTATGTTGTCTACCTAGGTTAGAATTCAATCTCCTGGAGTTCAAAGGAACAAAGAACATGTTAGAAATAAACAAGATACTAGAATCGCTCTAATACCATTTGTTGAGAACCGACAAAATAATTAAACACAAGAATAATATGAACAATATAAAAATAATGGATCACAAAGAAAATAAGATTTACATGGAAATCCAAATCCGGAAAAATTACGAGCAGAGACGGAAAATTCACTATAATCAATAGTAAGAAATTACAAAGGATTTCTTTGGACCAATAAATAATTAGACAATTGATCAATTCCAATATGTTTTATACACCACATATTTATAACCAAAGAATATCTAATATACTTGAAGAATTAATATATGAAGGGTTTAATATAAGATGAAGTTCCAATACATTGCGTAAAATCAATAATGGAGAATTATGATGAAATAAGAGTCAAATTCACTTTGGACTCCTTCAGGACTGATAGGAATATAAAATACACATTTTACATCTTTATTTAATGCGCTCATATGACTATTTTATGCCTAAATGTACTTAGTATTCTCATATTTTGGTTTAGGTGGCAAGTTGATGGATATAGCGTAANTTTAGGTGGCAATTCGATGGATATGACGTAATTTGGAAAAAATGAGGGGAAAAAGACCAAAAAGAAAGAAAGCGAAAGTTCGGGAACCAAAGTGAAAATATTCAAAAGTTGTACCGAACCTCACGATGAAGACTTGAGAGTGCTAGAGGCCAATTGGATGAAGAAAGAAGTCAAAGGGAAGAAATATAGCCAAGACATTATCACATATCAACTTTCAAGCTGAAACGTTTTGCACCGATTTCCAGTCTCATATTGAGACCAGTGTTTTACATATCAAACGATCAAATTCAAAGATGTCATCTAAATAAACGTTATAGGCTTTGAGTTAGCTTTCCAATGCATCTTGAATCGTCTCAATCGGACATCGGGAGAGAAAGTTACGACCAAAATACAGAAGGCTATCCGGAGGAAGTTTTGTAAAGCCTTGCGATCGC